GACTAGGATAGGATGATGGTGGTGTGGAGGGTGGGTGAGGGGGGGTGGGGGCTGGAAGCAGGGTGCAGGGAGGAGGGCGGGTGGCCTTGCGGTGTGCTGAGTGATAGAGGCGTGTGCCCCGAGTCCGGATCAGTTCGGTCCGTAGCGAGGTCGCGCGGTCGTTCAAGCTGCGTTGTGGCCCTCGACCACCATGAGCAGCGTCTGGCGGGTCTACGCGTTGTCAAATCCACTGTCATTTGCTCCATCTTGAACGAAGACTCGAGATCCCCTTACTTGCGCGTAAGGACGCCCCCGCCCTCGCCGATACACCGACATGCGCGGCGGATTGGTCCAGATCATTTCGCAACGGCTTGAGGCAAAAATTCATGAGGATATACCAAGCACAAGCGGACACATAGTACACAACGTCTGTTTAGGCTTGCTTGCGCAACCGTGAAATAAATAACAGCATCTACAGTTCCTTCGCGAATGGCACGCGATCGACATATACACCCTCGAGTTCTACAGTCCCGGCCACCGGCCGTCATCCTATTGGCCTACGATTATGCTCCTTCGCCTCCAGCGGCCGGTGCCTTCGCGCGAGTGTTATGTTCATGCGCCGCAGCGGGGTTGGCGGGTGCTGGGTGCTTTGGGCGTGTGCCCAGTAACGGCTGTGGATTGCGCTGTCTCAGCTTGGAATACGCGTATCGCATAGAATCGTTGGTCCAGTACTGGACGATTCTCGTATTCTCCGCCTGAAAGCCGATCGACGCGTGAGTCTCTTCGTCGGCGGCAAGAAAGCGGACATCTACTCACCAATGATGTTGATATTGTGATCCAGAAGCAAGACGGAGCACAAACCAGCTCGCTGATCAACGACGCTGCCGGCAATTCCCGAGCTAATGAATATAAAGGGGTCTACGACAACACGACAGCCCATAAATCAAACTCGCTCATCATGGATCCTCTCCCCATTTTACCCAATACCGACATCTTCATCGTCCCAGAGATGCTTTTGGGCTCCGCTGCGCAAGAAGCCCTGGATCAAGATGAAGATCAGGCTGACGATATTGATGCCAGAGCGCGGGAGGTGCGTCAAGAGGTCTGTCGCCAGTCAGAGCTGTCTATTCCATTGCGCCAGTTCTGATGAGTGTCTTGGACGCCGATCAGATCCTTCGTATTCTTCACGAAAGGCGTACACCCTTTGCGCAACTCGAACCAGAGAGGGTCATCAAAGGCGAGGGACCGACGTTCGAACTCCCTCTTCTACACTTTGGCGTTGCCCTGTCTATGCAAGACGTGCGGAACTATGCCAATGCCTTTGAGTGCGCGCCGGAGCCCGATCCGGACACGCCTCCCGAGTACATGTTGCCGAACGATGCCTACATGGAGTTAGAATCTGTACAGATGGAAACGAGGGATCTCCTTTTACAGCGTCTGCAAGAGACTTGCGGCGTCCCGAATTTGAAGAGCGTGGAGTGCCTAAACACGCACGACAAGATCTGGGTTCTCACAACCTATTCGAACCTCAACTTTGGTGCCGGTTCCACTGTCCAAGAAGAGGTTATCGCGTTTGAGAGAGTTATCGAGAAGCTGGACGCAATTGGTGCATGGTACTGGGACTACGAATTGTGTGGGATCAGGTAGGTGATAAGGCTCTCATCGCGGCATGGCACTGACGCTATACGTGCAGATATTCTTCTCCGTGGGATACCTACAACATCTGGCCTGCACATGAGATCGCTAGGACCGGCTGGCCGCGCAGCTTCTGGGTCCTCGAAAAGAACACCGAGAACACCGAGCGCAAGCGCCTGCTGACCCTTTACGACCACTCGGAACACAAGTTGGACGAGATTGCCGACGATACCATGCAAGTGTAGACTGCGAGAACGAAGACCGTACTCCTGCCATAGACGTACGCGTCCAATGGCTTTCATTCAATAGAGCTTCGTAGTTGATTCACCGTTATCGCAGAGCCTGAACCTGCCTGAACTTTGACTGAATCATGCTTTCGCGAACGATCTAAGCTGCACTCATCAGCCTGTGTTGCCTATCCCTATTGTAATTATGACCCTACGTGTGCCCGGTGTCCGGATCAGTTCGGTCCGCACACACACACCTCGGGAGTCGGCCGCGCGCGCCGCGGGGCGTTGTGAACCACGACCACCATGACCACAATATAAATGCACTTTAATTCACCTTATATGGCCCTCTCCATTTCTAGTCCACTATGGCTCTAGAAGCCTCGGTCCCCAGACTTGCTCTCGAGAACGACGTCCACGTAGATATCACGCTCGGTGTGCTGGGCGAGTTCGATGCAGGACCGAGTGCGTCCACTAAGGACATAGCCGCGAAGGCCGGGATCAGGATTCAGGATTTGCGCAAGAGGATACGAGCCGAGGTGCGTGTACAGTGGACTTGCATTCTGACTTCGCTTAGACTGACGCTATGTATCCGCGCAGATCTACGCGCGCCTCGCAGAGCTTCGCCCCGCCATGCGCAAACTAGACGACCGGTTCATCCCCTCCCCAACCAAGCCAATTCAGGCGCCCATGATGAACCACGGCTACGCTCTGACCTCCGACCAAATGCTCTACTGCGCCGAAAAGTTCGGGGTCGCCCCGTCGCGTGATGTATACCGAGATGGCGTGCCGGTCGGTACAACCAGCAAGTACAACTCGGGCCATCTAGGCCTCGTGCAAACCTGCATGCGCAGCTATCTCGAATGTGGAGGGAACGTCCTAAGCCGCTCTATATCTGTCGAAGAGGCTTTCCACCCCGAACGCCGGCACTTGTTCATTCTGTTCTCGAACTACGACGTGGTGTTCAAACGCGAGCGCGCGAGGCGTTTCAGGCTTGAAGGCATCAAGGCGATTGTGGAGGAGATGAAGAGAGGATTTGAGGGGTATGAGAGGAGGGTTCCAAGGGTTGGGTGGCATTGGGATGGTGAGAGGTGCGGGTATGGGTATGTATTGCCTATTGTGATCGTCTTCTCGCTGGACTGACGCTCGCTATATGTAGGTATTCGGCGCCGTGGGACGAGTACAACTTGTGGCCTGCCGAGGGGAACAGCCACTGGAGAAGGAAGTTCAACGATGCACCTGCAAAGGAGCTCGAATCACGTTCGCCCGCGTTGGGCTGATCAAACCACCACCATCCGCTCTTGCATCGCTCTTGCCATAGATATTCACTACGCACAATCAACATACAACTTGATATCATACACGCGCGAATAGATACGGACAATATGGAGTCATTCTTCAGTCACGATACAACATATCGGGTCACAGTCATTCTGAAATTGCGACGTTTCAATACTGACAAGTCCTTGTCCACGACCGAGGTTCCATGTCCGCTGCGCCTGGGCATCGTCACAGCGAGCGGTGCCCTTGTGACTCTTTCAACGCGCGCCTCGAGTAGGAGCAGGCGACCCCGAGGAATCGCGGGTGGACGTGCCGGCGCCGGCAGCTACCCTAGGAGACCGACGATGCTGTACCTGCATATTGCCCAAAAGGTTGGTCACCTCTTCTACCTGGCCTCCGGCTCTTCCGGTCATCTGCCCACGAGTACGACCCGCTGGCCCCACGTCTGCGTCCAGTAGAGGCGTCTGGCTACGCGAACTCGAGGGCGTAGACTGCTTAGACTTGTATTCCGGTCCCGAAGCGCTTAACGGCCGACTGATCAGAGTTCTGCACTGGTAGCCTACATCCCCTTCCGTGTAGGCTACCGCAGCTTCCTTCATACGGGTCTATGAGGTATCAGCCTTGCATGAGCATAGATCGAGGCGTAGGAGGTAGAACATACCAAAGTCGCGGCGTCGAGAACTGGCGTCGGGATGCCGTTTGTCGAAAAGTGTGACCATTCATCTCGGAGAGCTCCATCCGGGATGTGCATGCCGCTGGCTCGCCGGATGATATCGAGGGCGTGAACGAGCCATTTGCTCGGCCGCATAACGCCGGCGATATCCTCGAACATTTCGACCGCGTGGTACACGATCTCATGGCGAGTGTTGTACTTCTGCGTCAGTGGAGCCTTGGCAGCGTCCATACGTTTCTTCTTCTCCTTGGGATCCAGCGTCTTCCAAAAGGCGTCCTTAGATGCCACAGCCTTGAGCAGCTTGGCCGAGTTTTGATGAAGTTTGTGCGTGTGCGCCTCCATTTCCCGCCGCCATGCCCAGTACTGATTCAGGCGCGAACGCCGCGCCTCTCTTGTAGCCGCGTTACCACTGCTGTTCACAAAGACGGTCAACGAGAAGTATCCGCCAGAGGAGCTGAACACAAAGATGTAGTCCTGTTTGATCCCTTTCGAGAAAGTGAGCTCGGCCTGCTCGCGGATCTGCTGGAAGATCTCGACGTTGTAAAGCACAACATACGCCTGACAGAACTCCGCCGTAAAAGTCTCCGGTTCGGCCTCCATATTGGCATTGGCATTGTCGTCGTTGCCGTCGTCTTGTGCGGCTTCGTCAGGTTGTTCTTCATCTTCATCTTCAAGTCGTCCGTCGTCGCTGCGCTCGCGCTCATCGTCGTCTTCTTCTTCTACGTCCGCACTCTTGTCCTTGTCCTCATCCTCTTCTTCGTCCTCTTCTTCGTCCTCTTCTTCGTCTTCGTCTTCCTTGTCCTCGTTGACTGTCCCTTCCTCGTCTTCTACACTGAGCTCCGACGAGCCAGCAGACCAACCGCTCGGCGAGTCTGTGATCTCATCTTCCATTGCTTCCAGAAGAACGGGGCGCTTGACCTCCCAGAAGTACATGAATTTCAGTGGGCCCAGAACGTTTCGCATGAGCTGCACGATGAAGTCGGGGATCCGGTAGCTGTTAGCCTTCTGCACGCGCCCTTGCGGGACTGTGATCGTCATCTCTTCCGATGCAGCACCCCGGGCTAATGCCAACTCCGTGCAGTGTCGGGTGATGACGGTATTGATGAGCCCGTAGGATACAGCCTCGTACGCCGGACGTCCATCACCTGAAGGTTGCAGAGCATATCGATAAGCCGCCTGGAGTTCTTTGGAGAAGGAGGCCTTAAAGAGCTGCATGAATCCAAGCTCGTTGTCTGGCATCGTCAATGGCGCTGAGTGGATCGTTGGGGTGGATGAGGCGGTGGTCGGAAGTGCGTTGCGCAGTCGCTAGCGATGTACTCTGACTGTAGGGCGAGATGTGATGAAGAAGAAGAGCTCAGCAGGTGGCTGGCTTATATAGCCGATGCTCAACTTGCCCAGATGATTCAGAGAATGATCCTCTACCGATCGGAGCGTAAGTATGGCCGAGAAGGACAAACGGGTTCTCACAGACGTACAGCATATAGAGAAAAGGAAACAATAGTCGCGCTTCACGGCCATCTGGAAGCTATTGGCGTTAACACCGCAAGAAGCAGCTTGTAAGCAAGAACAAAAGACTCGTGCTGGCAGCGTGTGCGAATAGTCTGTAAGATCTCACGGCATCTGCTTCTTAGTGGTTACAACCGTCTTCCCTTTCTTCCAAAAGGGTACGATAGAACGCAAGCTAGGGCATCGAAGGGCCTGAACAACCAGTGCTGCCCAGCCTTTGCGAGGAGCCATCATGATGCGGGTGGTCACCACTAACTATTCTGAGAACGCGAAGGCCAGGCAGCGGCCCCCTAACCGAGCATAATAGACATCGAACTTGTTCTCAAAGCGGAACGGCAGTCCCATGCGGAACAAGAGTAACTACGCAGAGGTCGCGGTCGTCGTGGTTGGAAGAGGGTAGACGCCAGAACCTGATTATGGTGCCTGAACCTCGGCAATCGCCGATGTCCCATATATACTCGCCGCGGCTGCGACCAGACTTCCACCAGCTCAACCCACTCATCTTTAAGTCGCTATGTCCTTACCTCCCGCCCCTACGATGGAAGTCGACGGCGGTACTACTGTCGTCACGCCCGAGATGATACGAGCTCCTGCTGTGGACCAAATGACTGACACTGCGATCAAGTTCGTGAAAGAAGCCCGAGGTGCCGTACGTCGCTATTGCCGTCACTTGCTTGCTCTGTATCTTACGTATTACTTGAGGTTATGCGGACTCTTATGGACATACGTGTGCCGCAGAAGGAGCTTCGCGAAGACTTTGATCCCGATGCATGCACCGGAGACGGCCAGCAGCGGCCACCGCTGATGCACTTCGGCTTCGCTATGTCGTGGACGCAAGTCATTGCGTTACTAAGACGTCACAATTATTTGCACTCTCCGTCTATGCCTTTCAAACCGACCTTGGCGAATCTGAGCAAGACACGCTCGCACCCACATCTGAACATTGTGGAGAAGGACGCGCTGCGAGACCGCCTGTTGCTAGTTCTAGGGTTTAAGACTGGAGAAGAGCTCGCGATGAACGAGTGCTTGACGCCTAAGAGTGTGCGAGTGGTCATATCTTTATATACCAACTACTCGAAGGGCTCCAACGGCTGGTGGACTGACGAGGACAGGCGCCAGGAGGTCATGAGCGCGCTACGCAATTTCCTGCGTTCGAAGAACTATAACCCTGATGAGCATTTGAACTGGTACTGGGATGCTAAATGGTGCGGGCTCGGGTGAGTAGATCACGAGTTCCACGAGTATACAGAGTTTGCTGACCTATACCCTGAAAAAGATACTCGGCGCCCGATGATGCTTTCAACCCTTGGCCTGCAGCGCAGAACAGCAGATGGAGGACTCACTTTGACAATCGATCACCTGACGAAGGGAAAGCTAGGCGCACCATTGATACCAAAGGCGATCAGGCGTATTAGCGGCCTCTCTGGCGCACTACACTAGCTTTCTGAATGCTCTGAATGCGGGGAATTCCACGCAACATGGCTGTTATCCTGTTTGCTATGATTGCTAGTTGTACCATATATTCAATGCCATGTCATTGCTCTATCCTGACCCAACATAAGTCCTGACCGCGACGTGCTATCAACTCACGTGTGCGCGTCATGAACCCAAGTCAAAAATGTTGAATGAATAGGGCATAGTAGGGACTCTCACTCTTATATTTATACTCCTTTTGGGTCTCCCGATGTAGCTGCGGCCATTGTTATCAATGCTATATGATGAACAAGGAATGTGAGCTCGTGAGCCTCGATAGACGTGCGCGTGCGTCGCGTTCTCGTCTCGCCAGCGCAAGTCTCTACCCTGCCTACGTCCCCTTATTCTCCCACTCGCGCCACATCCATTCCAATTGACTTGTTATCTACCGACCAAAACGTGTCGCGGCAAAGTGCAGGTTCCTTGGGGCAGGTCATGTCGCGGTGGAATGTGCCGTAGTACGCACTGATTTGCCCAGAGCACTCAGGGACGGGTGAAGAGATATCCGGCCTGCCATCCCCCATGAGATGGCGCAGAACGTCGTCACCTTCCACGGCGTTTACGACGCTGCAAGCTGCTGCAAGACTCGACGTGGACGTGGACTGGAAGGTGGACGGCAGCCCAGACGCGCGCGGTCACGTGATAGACGCGCGCGACGCGTCGGGGTCCGCGCAGATGAGCGCAAGGCTGGCGTCGAAGCTGAACTGTGCCACAAGCTGCTGCATGCTCCGGGTGGGTTGAGATCTCGGAGCACGGAGAGCACGGACGCGTTCAGCTCATCCTCACCCACATCGGGTGACTCGGGCCGTGTCGCGATCGCCACAAACGTGATCGCGCACAGGTTTGTTCCGAGCCACCACCACCAGAAGACGAAACGCAGATCTTGCATTCAACCGACATCTGTAGGCGGAACCAACGTTCTGAATGTGCTTCCCGACCACTTCTGTCAGCAGTCGTCGCCAAGCCCTTGCGAGGCTCACCAATCTCTGCATGGCATCGGGAGGGATGCTGAAGGCCCGACAGCAGACGACCTACACCCGCTCTAAATTGACGTCGTACTATTCAGCGTGGGTCGCTGACATGTCAACGCGGCTAATGTGTGAGTCGGAGTTATGAGGCGAAACGCATCGGCTTGAAGGCTGGTATATTCGCGGCGGAGTAGGAACTATTGTCTGTCACGCAGCGAAGTTCAGTCGTATGCGGGCGTTTATGAGGAGGGGAAGGAGAGGCGGTGTGGATGTTGAGGGGTGTGGGGGCTGTCAGGGTTTTGCAGGGGTGGGATGGGTTTGTGGAGGCGCTGGAGAAGATTGAGAAGGATGGTGCTTAAGGATGAAGGAATGCTTGGACAAAATACTATTATATTGTACAGTGCACTCAGAGCTAGATGTTTGTATGGATGTGAATGAAATGATGTTCCAATGCGCGTGGGCTGTTACTGGTCTCGCGTATATCGCAGATACCTAAAAATGGGAAGGCGTTGGCGCAAACGCACGGCCGACCGTCTCAAAGCGAGACGTAAGCAGATTTCCAGGGAAGTCACTATATTCTTCGCAAACATTGTACACAGCGCACAGACATACATATACCATAGCAGATCGAGAGCAGAACGAGTTACAGGCACAGAACTACGGAATTGCAAAACGATATCGTGTGTCAGAGTCGCGAGCAGCCGAAACATATCTACGATGGGCTTTCGCCGTTGATGATTGAGCCAGAGACAGTGTGATTCTATGGAGGATCAGTACGCACAGGTCTACTGATTACGAGCGCCTCACCTCAGATTCCGGGGATTCCGTGGTCGGGCGGGATTTGCACCGGAACGGGCCGTTGCCGGTGCGGTTGCCACGACGTAGAGCGCTCTCGTCGGAGAGCAGAAGGACGGGACCGTTGGATACATGCGCGCCGTCGAGGGCGACGAGACGGAAGAGCGGGTAATAAGTCCTCGCGCCGTCGGGGTTGATCTTGCTCTTGAAGTTCCCCGCCGTAGAGCTGATAAGCCACTCCGCCCCGACATCGGCGCCGCCCACGTCAGGCAGCGCAGGGGCTGTGGCGCGGAGGCCGATGCTGACCTGACGCTCCGCGGACGTCCCGAGGTATCGTGCGTAAGACGAGGTGGCATGCACTTCGGAGACGACGACGACACCCTCTGGTAGCGATGTGTCGTCGAGCAACGGTCGGAGAGCGCCTGGAGGGTCGATTGTCGTGATCGTGTCGCCGTCCATGCAGAGCACCGCGCCACGCCCTGCACTGAACTTGAACGATGCTTGGGCTCGGCAGTTGATAGAAGAAGGGGTTTGGCTGGAATAGTACGTCGATATTAGTAAGAAAATTCGTATGCTGGGGATCATACTCACGCGCTCGCATCCCCAGTCGTACCAACTTTCACTGCGTTCTGACTGACGACCCAGCTGATACCTGTGCTCCCTTGATGCTCATGCGTCTTGGGAGGTGGTATGGCGAAGTCCGCCGCGCGTCCGTCCTCGTAGATGTTTCCATGTTTCAGAAATATGCCTTGTCTACGACCATACGCCCAAAAGGCATACCACGGCGAGCGAGTACCGCGGGTGATGACACCCCAGTCGCCAACGCGCACGGGCACTTCGGGATCCCAGGAGGCGTACTTGCGGGACGAATGGAAGAGGAGTTCAGTGTAGGTGCGCTCGGGGTCACGTGGCATGATGCGTGGGTAATTGATGCGCGACGATCTGCAACTCGCCAGCTCGAGGTTCCGCAAAAAATCCCGAGTCGTGCAACACAGTAAGAGTGGGTTAGAGCAGCCTAGGATGACAGGGAGATCCAAAGGTAATATTTGTAGCATTCCTTTCTGCTTCGCTATGCACAACGAGCGTCTCTGTCGGACGGTGGGGTCCCATGGTCTCCCAGCCAGCTCTGATTGGTCGAACGCCATCAGCACTGATCGGCACGCCCGGCAAGTTGAAGAGGACAGGTATAATTCCACACAGCGCTCGGACTTGCAACGCCGCCCGCGCTGTCTGCGCGATCCCGTCCGTCCCGACAGCCCCGGAAGCCCGCTGTCGTGTTCTGTAGACCTGCGCGTCTCTGCGCATATGATTTTCTTGGTGCAGTACAGTGAGGACGGCGAAGGGTGGGCCGAGTCTGGCCTAGTCTCCTAAAGCAGCCCTTATAAAAGTCTGGCCGAGTAAGTCGAACCCGGCAGGACGCGGCGATCAGCAAGCTCGCAGAGGCTCGAATTCGGCGGTTGGGAATACTCTCTAATCCATCAACGCGTCGCAATCGCGTCGTCCCTTCTCTTCGTCCCGTCACCAGTCTCGGAGCTACTTACGTTCTGTAGATCTCGTACTCTTGCCACATCAATTCGACCTGACTCGTTCTGTACTAGTTAGGCCCGTCACAGCAAGGCGCGAGTCCACCGGAGCAGGTCTTTGAGCTTGCGCGCCAAGTGCCACGGTGGGAGCAAGAAAGGATGGGGGAGAGATCCCGCTCGCCGCCTTTCATGACAAGGATTGTGCAGGCATTGAACACGGTTACTATCTACAGCATCGTGCTTTTGAACGCTGTCAGACTCCGAGATGGTCGCTGGTAGTTGGCAGCACAGACGTCCGCCCGCGGTTACCTCATAGACGCGCACGACGCGCGAAAGGCTGGCATCCAATCCGAGACGTGCGCACAAGATCCCGGGCCCGAAGAACATTCCCCGACGTAGAGCGCTGGAACGTCGAGCAATGTTAATGAAAGAGGGAGGGAGTGGCAAAGTTGTTGCACCATGGCACACCGGTACCTGCCTCACCTTGCCTCCCGCATGGTGACACTCGTTCTTCGCACTGCACCTGCGTAGGATTCAGGCATCTAGACACTTGCTGCAGCATCTAAGCGGATGTAAATGGACCTATTCAGCTCATAATCCCACCCCATCGGACTCGGTCCGTGTTGCGATCGCCACAACCGTGATCGCGTCCGGCGGTTGCGCAGGTTTGTTCCGAACCACCATGTCAATGACACGGAATGCAGAGCTCGCATTTAGCCGACACCTGTAGGCGGGACCGCCGTCTTCTGAATGTTCACTTTGATACTTCTGCCAGCGTCGTACAACCTGTCCACAGCGTAAAGCCACAAAATGTCTTCACGCGGAATCATACCGGGATCCCCGAAATCCCAGATAGATTCGCATAAGATTGAGAGAGGATTCGGTGTCACCCAATCCATAGTGAACCGTTCCGGAATGGAGCATGATACGGGTAAAATTCGTGCGGCGGTGATCACATGCCGGAACAGCACCCCGACGGAATTCTCCCAGGATTCTCTAGGATTCTTCGGCCCTGTTCAGGCAGCTATTGGGTGCTGGTACTGGGCATCGGTACACCAGCAGTATAGCGATATATGGTGACAAGGACGAGAAATTATATATTATGCATCGCTGGGTAGGTACAGTGTACATTATCTCGAGGCTCATACATGCGAATAATCTACTATATTGAACGCCACTACCGCCCTCTCGCCTCTGGCATTACCTCCTCCTCGGCGTACCCACACCGCAGTTCCATCATTGAGCAACCTGGAGGGATAGACAGTGAGCGGGCTATCAGAAGACATGCAATCGAGGACATACCAGTATGAAGCGGGCGTGCGCGATGGGCGGTAGGCGTGGCGAGGCTCGATTTGGGCGGCCAAGCGTGCAAGCGTTCACTACGTGCCGCCGTTAGCGATTCCTCGAGAAGGTCGCAGCGACGCAGAGGACAAGACTTACCATACTTCCGGCAACGACACTATTTACTTCTCCAAGGTGACGACTAGTTCGGCTACCTGACAGGCATCAGTCATCGCAATGCAGAGGGTTAACTAGTTCCGGGCCCGTACCAGAGGAGAGGGCCATCATAGTTCAGACATCATTGCAGGTGAAGCGGGCAGATAGGAGGAGGACAGGGAGAGAGGGAAGCGTCGAGGGGTGGTCGTCGTGGCAAGAGGCAAAACCAAGAAGTCGCTTGTACGCCGGCATCGCGCCGCCACACCGACCGCGCCCCACGCCCTCAACATCCTCAACCACGACATCGAATTGTATCTCTCACGAGCTATTCTACCTCGTATTCTTACTGCCGACACAATCTTCGTCGGATCTCACCAGCATTCTTCATCCGATGGGATGCGCTTAGGAGACTGCGCGCAGTATTTGAATCGGCTAGAATTATACTTGAATCCAAAGCGAACTTCGGGAATTGCGTTCAGATCCTTATCAAGACATTTTAGGACTTTACGCTGTGGTCGCCGCCAAGCCCTGGTGAAGCTCACCAATCTTTGCATGGCATCAAGAGGGGCGCTGAGAGCTTGACACCCGACGACCTTCGCCCACTCTACATATCGACCCGCCCTATTCAGTGCGGGCCGCTGACCTGTCAACACGGCTACTTCGCGACTCGGAGTTACAGGAGGCGACACATCTGGTTGAATGCCAGCATTCTGACGGCGGGGTAGGAAGTCCTTTGGCGTCTGCTCTCTGGTATGCTACGAAATTTAGCGCTGCGCTCTTGCGCTCACTGCTTACTATGATGCTAGTGAGATCCTATTGAAGACATGTTCACGCCGTTGCCGGACAATGGACACGTGAGCCTCGGGGTGAAGCCTGTGTTAGAGAAGATTATCGCTACTACAACTTGACTCCCCCGCGCAAAACGTCCTACGAACTTGGTACGACATGTCCTTACGCAGCGCATAGTCAGGCGCTTGCTTAGTGTACGCTTGTCACTCAACGCATGGTAGCAGTGGCCCGCCTTGTACAGTTGTACAGACGCGTATGCATGTTAATATTCTCCTGCGATACCCGCACTCTTATTCCCTTGCCTCCCGCTACTCACTGCATCTACTATAAAGGTCGCCAGCTTCAAGATCAACATCCCCATCCTCGTCTTTCCACAGGACTTTCACTCGCACTCCAACCGCCACTCAATCCTCCTCAATCAATCCTCACTCTTCCTCAATGTTCTCAACTGCCATTCTTCTTGTCACAGCTGCTGTGGCCTCCTCTGTGCTCGCCAATCCCGTCTCCGACAGCATGCGTCGCCAGGCATCCGGCTTTATCACGGGTGGACAGTACGCATCGGCGTGGTCTCATCCTCCCAATCGCACTAACAGTCTACATAGGGCTACCTTTTACTATCAGGAGGGAGGGTTCGGATCCTGCGGCCAGCAAAACTCCGACAGCGCACTTATTGCTGCCCTCTGTATGTGTCGTTCACCAACCAAGAATGTTCGCAAGCCTACTCTTACAAAACTCTCCAAACAGCTGCGGCGGATATTGCGCCTGGCGGGGGAGACTGTGGCCGCCGCATCGAAATCGTAAATACGGCGAACGGCAAGAGTGTGGTAGCCGCTGTCGAGGACACATGCCCCGGTTGTCCTTCTCATTCGCTTGATCTGTCTGTTGCTACTTTCGATGCCATCGGGGACGAAAGTAGCGGCATTATCCCGATCGAGTACAAATTCCTCGATTAGGCATAGTATACACTCTCCTCTCCGACCTTAAGTCTTCTTTTGTGTGTTACGCTCGTTACGCATGTATCCCATTGCTTTCTCTGGCAGAACAAGTCCTCTAATCAGTCATATATGTTTGAGACCTTATTGCGGACAGCCGGAAGTTCTGACATTCCACCCAGGGCTTAGAACTACTGTACTTCGCACAGATCCTATCGCATGCGATGAGTCAGCTCAGTGGTAGCGACGCGGATCGTGATAGAGCAGAGCGCACGAAGACGGCGAGAGCGAGTGGCGGTCCGAGATCGTGATCATCGAAGGGTACGACAAAGGGCCGCGCAGAGCAACTTGATAGTATAAATGGTGTAGCTCAGATTGAATGTGTCGGCTTCACGCTGTCACCGAACTCTGTGGGGGGATAGACGTCGAGCGCAAGCGCACCGGCCACAGCTTAGAGTAGCACGTGTACCTTCCCACGAGGGCGTCGGTCCGCAGATCTCCGGACTTGTTTTCCGAACTCTCTTCTTCGCCTTTCCCTTCTCTCACCCACCGTCTTTAAGCTCAAACTCGGTGGACAAGACCTGGCTTGAATACGAGACACAAACCCGGTGGCTAGTCCACTTGGGTTTGTGAGCCATCATGACTTCCGCGTCAACGGACTTGCGGCGACGCGCCGCGCGGTGAGATCAGGACTTGCTGTTGACCACCACCTGCTTCCGAGGGTATGAAACGTGCGCTTTGCTGGCTGTCCACAGCGTATACGTATTCCCAAGGACCTCAATACGAACGTGATGTCTACCGAAGGCTCAAAACGATGTACCTCGTGCCCGCCGACGGACATCGTCTAGGGTCGAGGCGTAGGGGCGGCGTAGACTTGTGGCATTCTCACCCAGCTGCAAGGTTTGCATGCTCTCGGAATGCCATCTGAGGCACACGAACGGTGCACCATCTACAGTCACAAGATCATAACGAGCCTGCATGGCATTGTGGGTCAGTACAATGACCATTCTTGCCGCACGAAACAAGCACTGATTACCCGGAAAGACACCCGTTGTCGCTCGATGTATCCTGCAATCATACGTGCGGCCTATGCTTTCTCAGGTACAGTGCTGGGCATGAGACTCTCAGGCTTGCGTCTCAAGTATACTCGGACCGCTGGCCGATTGACTAGAAGCGCAGACGAACGGAACAATTCAGCCATTGCGCTCGAAGCGTCGCGTCGTGGTTCCGCTACATGCTAGCTCGCAATTACGCCGCATCAACCTCACGCATGGGCTTTCCTCTTGACCCTGCAGTCAATTCCGTACAGTGAAACCCATCCAGCATGATTTGGGAACGACTCCTTCTCAGGATACAATTGACGGCGAATATTTCTCTGGACTCAATCCCCTCGAGTCAGTAAGTATACGCAACCCTTGAGCCTCATGCGGCCGACTCCAACGGGCACTGATGTGCGTCAAGGATCTGGTATCACTCCCCTGTTCAAGCTCGAAGCAATGGCTTTACGCGTCTTTCAGATCCCCCCGGACATACACTAGGTCTTTGATTCCACTGCATGTTTCATGTGGCGCAAGTATCTCTTACGGAGTAGCGCCAGGTCACGTCCTTCAGACTTCACGCAGAACCACACAGTTACGCCCATTCGCGGGACTCTTGAGAGGCGCAGTGTCTTTGACCTGTTTCCGGAGACGTATAAAGGCATCGACGCTTAACACCCCAAACCTCAGCACTCCTCGTCCTCTCGAGCCAGCAGCTACTCCTCCATTTGCCCCTCGCATTCACTCTTACACACACCCAATATGTTCAACTTTATCTCACTTGCTATCGTCGCTATCGCGGCCGTCTCGTCGGTGTCTGCTCAGACTTACACCGGTGGCGAGTCAGTAGCATTCACCTCCGCCCTTCAAGTCCTCCTTTGCTGATGGTCTCGCCAGGGCCACATACTACTTCCAGAACGGTGTCGCTGGAGCCTGTGGTCAAGTGAACCCCGACAGCGCGCTCATTGTGGCCGTCCGTGAGTGCTCCTCTTCCACCCTCCGTCTTGATCATATGTACTGACTAGTACCACGATGCAGAGGCTCAGCGCTTCAATACTGGTCTCTGCGGCCATCAGGTTCAAGTCACCAACACGAACACCGGCGCGAGCGTCGTAGCTACCGTCGCTGACGAGTGCCCCGGATGCCAGAACAACCCTAACTCGCTCGATCTGTCCGTCGGCGCGTTCGAGCAGATTGCTACCCTCGATGAGGGCGTCGTGCCCATCTCCTACACGTACCTTTAAGCGCATGGTGCGCTCGGCTTATGCCCAAGACGGTCATTTTATAGTCCCATTCATCCGGTCTTTCAGTTCTTCTTCGGTCCTTCTTCACTTTCTCTGGTGTAACCCGATATTGAGAGGGGGTCTATCGTAGTAGAGGTCGTCCTTGTGTATTCTCTGCTGTTTGCGTGTATATCGCGACCTGGAACCACACCTATATTGCTTTGTCCTATTAGAACTTGAGTCAAAGTCGCGCTCAATGTGCTGGTGCTGGCATGGCCAAGACCTCTACAACGCTACTCGCGCCAAAGTATTGAGGTGTGAGGAACTCACGTGTGCGCGTCACCGATCACTCGCGCTCGGCGCAGTCGTGCGAGGTTCCTTTCCGACCACCACCACCAGGCGTTTAGTCAACGCCTATGGCCATTGCCAATATACGGATACCTTTCCAAGACCATGTGCACCAGAAGAGACGAGGGTAGCCGGTAGCTGCGCCTCCTGGGTATGTTCTTCCGCATCAAGAGTGAACCGGGCCTATGCGCGCAGCGCGGGGAAATCACGATTCTCTGTTGACCACCACCTGCTCCCGATACCATGAAACGTACGGACCTGTCTTCCCCGCAACATCATACGGATGTTGCCGCATACTTCGCCGCGAACGTGCTTCAGGTGGACCGGGATGTGTTCTGGGCACGCTGATTTTCTCCTGTGCCGAACTCTGGCCCACGATGTTAGGCCGGAGCGGAGTGCTGGCAATCATCCCAGTTGTAAGCTTTCCACGTGCTAAGCGAGTCGCTTAAGGCTCCAGAGCAATGTAGATCGTCTACAGCCATATGCTCAAGGTGGTCACGTATCGGACATCAAGTCAGTACAACTGCAGATGTCATTACACAACGTATGTGCTGATCTTTTTACAGGGAAGCATCTTGTTCTTGAGGTTCCTTACTCGACCGCCAGCTCTTCACGCTGCATATCGTTCTGGGGGCATGCTTCTGGATCTTCAGCCCGTATAGTGTGGGATTTCGAGCCACTCGGCACCCTTTCGGACCTACCAGAAGGGCCACGAAACGGAACAGCTCGGATTTTGCGCTCAATAGCGCCAATTAGGGTTTCCGCAATGTCCTAGCGCCCATCATCAACATACCCACATGGTTATACTGCTCGACCCTGCTCCTTCAAACGTGCTTAGAGGATTTGAACGAAGCCAATGAGTTTAAGACTCCTGCCAGCGATTAACATCCCTCAACCCTTCAAGTATGTCTAGGGCGATCAGTATGTATCGACGCGCTCTGAGCCAGTCTCGCTATTCTCACCGTGAGTGCAGCTAAACCGAAACTTGGTACAGAGTGTTTTCTCTCTGTGCGTTTCGCATCAGCGCCCGAGATATACGGAGCTGTTGGTCTCTCCAGATACGCTGATGTACTGCCAGCGTCTACGGTGGTCTGGCGCCGGTTTTGGCCCTTCTAGCTTTTCAAAAACCATGCAAACACCGTCAGGCCGGCATACACTGTTACCTTGCTGTAGGGTCACAGCTAGTGCAGAAACGTATAAAGTCTGCTTGTTTCTTCATCGCAGACCTCAGCAATCTTCGTTCTACCGCTTTACCACCTGAGCTCTTCTACCACTCCCATTCTCTACTTACTCAACATGTTCCACTTTTTCTCTCTCATCGTCGTTGCCGTCGCCGCTGCCTCTGCCTCTGCTCAGACGTACACTGGTGGAGAGTAAGTACTTCAATGCACGATACTCTCCATTCACACGTTCTGATACCATTGGCAGGGCGACGTATTACACTCAGGATGGCAATGCCGGAGCGTGCGGGCAGTTCAACTCCGATAGTGCTCTGATCGTAGCCGTCCGTAAGTCTCTTCGTCGTCATCCTCATTCGGCTTCTCCGTCGCTGACTCCGAACTCAGAGGCCCGACGCTTCAACCTCGAACTCTGCGGCCGCCAGGTCCGCGTCACCAACACTAACACCGGCGCGAGTGTCGTTGCAACCGTTGAGGATGAATGTCCGACGTGCCAGAACAACCCCAACTCGCTTGATCTGTCCGTCGCTGCCTTCGAGCAGATCGCCACTCTCGACCAGGGCATCGTGCCCATTACCTACACTTACCTCTGAGCGCTTGGGCTTATCATCTTGGGATACAGTATGGGGATTATGGTGCTTATCTCATGTTTGGGTCATCATGTTCTTCTGGTGTACAATTGTTTCTCTAGATGGAGAGTACTACTACCTATAATCGAACGGCTGTAGTTCTACTTGCATGTCCTCTCCTACTTTGTATCAGGTAATCCTACGCCAGCATGGTGCTTGTGTGATTGTTCTCTGAGTATGCAAGCCGGCTGTTTAGGTAACGTCCGGAGAGTTGCGTGATCTCGATCAGACGCGCGTGAGGACATTCGCGCGATGCTCAGATCCCTCGAAGAACTCACGTGTGCGCGTGCGGCAACCGGTGGCCGTGAACCCCAGGTGAACCCGCGCCCAAGCCGAGTTTCTTTCAGACCACCACGACGAAGGTCTTTGAACCATTGTCGTCCCCTCTGTCATGTATCGCTACCCGTGATAACCCGACTGTGAGACATTCCCGCGTCTTCTCTACCGCGATCTCCCGCTTAGCTGCGCGATACTGTTCGTGCTCTGGAGGGTTCACCATCACCGGCGGGGCGGCGCGCCGGCTCGACGCACATCTGCGCATATGACGGCGTTATTGAGATCGACTATCGTCTTCACGGCCTAGACACTTATTGCCATATTCCTGACGATGACAATGACAATCGCGTATGATGCACTTCGAGATGGGTCGTTCTTCGTCACGCTATTTTGCGCTATGCGGTAAAGGTGTATATGATACGTCGCGACTGCGACTGGCTGGCTCTAAAGCTCGATTTCAAGCCCATGCGTGCTCTCTAGTTCAGTACGTATTATATAGTGGGTTGTATGTATCAGGTCGCAACTCATCTTTCTCACAGCTGAGACTCCCGCGTGAAACATATCTTCCCGCCATTCTATACCGACACACGCGGCTCTGAGAACGCCACTGCGCGCGCAATTACTTGTACCCCTGGATTACTTTCTTCAGCAGGAAAACGGTCTACTACTTTGACGATTGCCGCAGTCACCTCCCAAGGTCTTGCGCCATACGTCGTACAACGATGTCTCGACCCATTTTCAGGTTCCTGCAGCGTATGATAGGCCTCTACAGTGAAGGATGTCGGCCTAAAGTCCTCGGATACCGGTATCGTGCGCTGGATTTGATGTATTTGCTCCCTTATGCCTGACGTCCACAGCTCTCCTAACGCGCCCGTGCCCTCATGATACCTTACTGTGCCGCATAACTTGCCCTCGGCCATCCGCACCGTGTTATTGCACTTCTCTCTTACTTCTCGCAAGTCAAAACGATCAAGAGCCGAGTGCCGAGCGCCGAGCGCCGAGGTACCCCGATGTCTGGTCCTCTACGTGCTGAAAGCCCTGGATAGGTACCCGTGAGTTCCGCATACTTCTCTCAAGATCGATATAAAAGCTGCTTGGTAGAGCCATTGCTCACTCAGTACTGTACTTGTACTTGCCTGTTTCCTTGCATCCCCCCACGCTTCTCTCTCTTCATCAAAGATGTTCAACCTCCTCTCCCTTGTCGTGGCCGTTGTGGCCGTGTCTGGTACGGTCCTTCCCCGGGCCGCTCAGATTGTGACCAAGGTCGGCGTAACCCAGACGGGTGGCTAGTGAGTACAAGTTCTCGACGTTGGCCGGTCAGATACTGACGCTATCTAAGTGCGACGTACTACAACCAGTTCGGAGGGTATGGCGCGTGCGGCCAAAAGAACCCTGACAGCGCGATCATCGTCGCTCTCCGTACGTACTGCATCCTTGTGGTGTTTTATGTCAGCTGACAATCCATGCGCTTATAGAGTCTCAACGCTATGATGCCTCACTGTGCGGTCACTCGGTCTCGATCACAAACACCAAGACCAAGAAGACTATCACGGCTCGCATCGAGGATAACTGTCCCGGATGCGCGAACGACAATTCTCTCGATCTATCCATCGGTGCTTGGGAGGCCATCGGGCAAAGCACGAGCGATGGCTCTGAGGTGCCCATCACCTGGAAGCTCCTCAACTAAGGGGATGTCATATGCCTTATCAAGTCTCTCATTGTAAACTGTACGATTACGCGCGGTCTCTACTTTCCCTGGGCTCTCTGGGCGATTCTCGGTGTTTCTTTCGGCTTTTGCGTCATATTAGGGCAGAACTATATGTATTCGTCATCCTCATCCCTCGCTTGTAAGCTTGTTGTACATGACTACAGGAAATGTTATATGTTCAATGTCAAGGCTTGTTGTCAATACGAACTTAATGGCCCGAGTCGAAGTGTATAGAAGAGCCCCAGGGACCAGAGCTCACCCACTCCATACCCCACGTAGAACTGACCAGCTGCACCTTGAGATCTCGCCGTCGTATTCCTTGTCTTCATGCGAGCCTTACACCCGCGCAAGACATAGGACATGTTCGGCTTGTGGTCTCATGAGTGATTGGACCACGCATCGGGTATCACTCATCGGCCAGCGGCCAGCCGACTGAAGCTGGGCGTTCGTTTGACGCAATCGAAGAGCAAGGTAAGACAGCAATCAGATTCGCTGATAATACAACAGAGCATGGACACCATGGGATAACAGTAGCAAGGGGAGATATGACGTCCGATCCAAGCAAAAGAAAGATGGCAGCAGATGGACAGCGTGCGAATTTGGGGAGGATTAGTCGTAAGACGGTGCGCAGGATATTGCAGGTTCGTGGGGCGCGTTCTCGGGGGTCTTGTTCGTCATTTACTGATTTGCGTTGAGCATGGACTTCAAGCCAAGCCGGATTGACCGAGGTAGGACTTGATGATCGCCTCGTTGACTGTTCGGATCGAGTCAGTCAACACTGGGTGAGTGCTCTGACATGGGAATAAAACGTACCATCGACGATGATCTTCTGGGTAGCGCGGATATCGAGCATGCTCGTGAAGTGCTGACAGGGTTTGTGTGAGCGGCAGCGAGTTGGATGATGATGATAAGGGGTGATGAATATACCGTGTACAACTGCTGTTTCGTTTGACCCTTGCGTTTGTGCACTTGCGAGAAATGCGCGCGGAAGTACTCGGCAACTTCCTCGAAACGGTTCGGCCGGTCGCCGAAACTTGTGATGCTACATGCCGCGTCAGCTATTCATCCAGTAGTGGTGAGGTGACAGGGAAAGACTTACTATTTGCGCACTTGGATACCCGCGTTAAGCTTCTTCTTTAGCAGATCGGTTTTGTTTAGCATGAGCACGAGACTGGAGTGCTTGAGTAGCTTGTTGGTGCATATAGCCGTAAAGAGTTGCAAGGAGTCGTCTATCCTGTTTGTGCGTGGGTCTTCTTCAAGATACTGTGGCCGCAACCGTGACATCTGAGTAAAGTTCATCTTGGGTGAGTGGAACGGGAAGTGCTCACCTGGTCGAAAGCGGAGATCGGCGCGAGGAAGATGATCGCGGTCGCTATACGTTTCGCGTCAGACCGACCGACAAGAGCAACAAGATGTGGGGTCTTGACGCACCATCGTCGAAGTAAGGCACCCAGGCGTGTCTCTGTTCATTATCCATACTACGGGGTCAGAAAGCTTGAACGCGTGCGAGGCGGCGGGCGACTCGCCTGTCCACGCTGTGGATCGCATGTCCGTCAGCGGGCTTCGGATCCATCAGAAAGAAGCGAAAGCGTACGCACAGCACCACCGACATCATAGAGCAGCCAGTTGTACCTCCCACCGCCGAAGTCAATGTCGAAAGAGTGCTCAGTGACGCCCAGCGTCTGTAAGCGAACGTGTAGGACATCGTCTGTCAATGAGATCATGGAAGATATGTTAGCGCAATTGCATGATGCGGAAGCGTTTGGCGATCAGGAATGGGCGTTCGAGCGAGAGAAGGGATGCCGGGCGTAACTTTGCTCCGCTTTTGCCTTTCGAGGACATCTTCTCCCGCCACAGCACCGATGTAATGGAAGGCTAACGAAGTGCAGAGATACGCACCGACGTTGGGGACGTAGTCTGGTTCTGCCAGCCGTCGTACCTCCTCCAGGAAGCTAGACGAAGGATATGTGTGAGCAATTAGACGCGATGCGGATGGCGTGAGTGCACTCACAATGACGCTGACTCTTCTAGTCGTAGTTTGCGTAGGCGCAACAATGCCTTCACAGCAGGATGGTGCCACAAGTCGAGCACGAATTCTTGCGTATCGGACAGCAAGCGCCCAGCCATGGTGGCCATGACACCAGCGCGCGTACTTGACAGGGAGTTCCGAGCGTCCGAAATGGGATAGCTTCGCGTCGGCGTGACGAGCGCCTGCCAGCCTGCGCGCACAAATACGCCCGAGCGACCTCCTCCGACGGTGATGCCGTTACTGAGCTCGGCCGCGAGGGAGTCTTCGATGGCTATCAACGGCAAGAGCTTGGTACGCAGGCGCGCGATCTCGTCCGGCCAATGCGGTCCAAGTACGATCAGGGATTGAGTGGTGTTTAGTGCATCGTCGACAGCAGCTTGGCCAGAAAATTCGAAGTCGAGCTCTTCGAGAATCATGCGTACAGCTTTGATGACGTTGAAGAAGACGATAGGCCGCCATGAGGGCTTCTCGCTCTCGAGCGACTTGGACGCGTAGAAGAGTTGGAACTGTTTCTGTAGCGTAGACTTGCCCGATTCGGCCTGTCCGAGTAGCATAACTATCATAGCAACATGTCAGCTTGAAACGGCGCGGCGCAGGGCGCAGATCGACGACGCGTTCGAGAGAAGCATGGAACGCCACGTTCCGAGTATGCGTGGTGCTGAAACGTATGGTCGCGCGAGTACGCGTAGATGCCGCGGCGCGCTCGAGGGGGACAAAGTACTGTGGAACATTCCGACTCACCCTTGACATCCTTCCTCGCCGTCTGCCTCTTCCTGATGGCCTCCTTCTCGGCCTTCCGTACATTTTTTTCAGTACGCGTGATAGTAGGACAGCATAGGTAAGCGCACGTTCAACGCCTCGTCGATCTGCCGGCTGACTTTGCGGGCCTCCGAGTCATCGACCGCAACAGGCATGGTGGGTATCCGGCGGCTGGCTGGCCTGGACGTCTAGCAGTGGTGGGGGCACGAGGTAAAGTTGGCCGCAGGCCGACTGGCGGAGGGGTGATGGAATTCACTCTGAGACATCATGGCATGGTTGCAATATAAACCGTAACGTACTAGAAGCAGTGCACGTCGACGCGTGAGAACTCCTGCCTCTGCTCTCCCTATCATCATCTTCTTTGGTCCTGCTTCCCTGATGCGCTCAGCGCTCCTTGATGGAGCACCATAACGAGCCCAAGGCTTTCCTATTCGTCTACATGTTTGTCTGACGAACTGAGCCAGTACTCTCCGGGCGATGCCACGGTTTCACGGCGAAGTGTTCCATCCGACCTACGACTCATACCACATGTCCCAAAGCGACTGTCGGAATGCCGTCCCGATATCCATCATAAGTACTGGCAAGCTACATCTCGAACACTAGCCACGGTCATCTTGTCTTGAACAATGACCGTCGCGACACCGGCGAGCAAAGAAGCCCTCTTTGCTTGACTACCTATCCGCTCGTCATTCGTAGGCGTACCGCCTACGATGATGGTCAACGAGGCATAACAGCTCGGGCTTCAAGGTCATCTCAGATTAGATTACATCAGCTTCGGTACGATGCTGTCTAGTGCGACTGCAGGGTAACAGAACTGAAGTCGCCATGCAGAGCAAGAACGTACTTCCTATTGTCCCTTGGGGCCCGCGTCCACCTTGGTGACCCTCAATGGAGCCTTCTTACCGCCTTCTTCTAGCGTAGAACGCTAACTAGTATGGACGAAGCTGTGTAGCGGCCCCCGTGCTACGGTACCATTGTGTTATCCGAGCCTTGTGCCATACATCGTCATGCGGCAACCTACCTACTTCCGTGGTCATCTCGGGCAAAGCGTCCAGTATTGTCCTCTGGGTGCACACGACCTCCCTCCGCCGGTGCAGGCCGGGCAATCGCGATGATGGTCATTCAGATCCTTATCAGCGCTTTGCCTCATACCTGTGTTGGCTTCAAGCCACTTCTCTTCATGCCTACAGCCATTCACCAGTCCGATGCCCTACAGCAGCCAGATCGTACCCGCAACCTCCCACAGCACGACGCCTGTGTGAGAGAATTCAAGATCGGCTCTAGCGCAGCTCCGACCGCGTGCCGTACATGGGCGTCAGGCTGAGATACGGGCTGATCCTGAGCTGATCATCCCCACGTTCGTCCGTGTTGCTTGTCCATGTGCGACCATCTGATGGTCCACGGACTTGCCAGAGGCTGAGTGTAGCTGGGACAACGGTCATCTACACCGATCGACTATCTAACCATTGGGCGCTCTATACGGAGGATGAACAGATGCTGCCGTGCTAACAACGCAGCTCATCGAGATATGCCCTGCAGCTACAACGGTATCTGGGCGATCCAGATCCAGCGCCCAAGCCTACATTCAAACTGAATGATACTGTGCGACACAGCCGAACGTGCTTGTCCTATCAATTCAACTACCGAGCGAACACAAGGACATAGCTCACGAGGATCTGCCATTACTGTCAATCAACACATTACCCTGGCTAATGCGGTATTCTCCTTCTGCTCGAGCTCCTCCCGTTGACAGGCGCATATGGGTTGCTATCTTCCGAAGGTCGATAATTCAGCACGATCGAGTATAAGAACTCGGGCGGAGTTGAGCGGGCTCTACCGTGCTCAGCTCAGTGCGTCTCGAGCATCTTCGGTCATTTGTCTATCTGCCCATGATGAGGGCAACCATCTTGTCATCGCTCGTCGCCGCCTCAATTGCTCTGGCTGCTCCTCAGCTGCAGAAGCGGGCGCAGCCTCAGGGAATTGACGTCTCCGGCTACCAAGGCTCTGTCGACTTCGAGGCCGCGAAAGCGAAGGGAATCGTTTTCGCTTTCATCAAGGCCACGGAAGGTACCAGTACGTGTGCAGCCTTTCCTCTATCACTGCTCTTGATGCTTACACACGGTTATATGACAGCTTACCAGAACCCGGACTTCTCGCAGCAATACGACAGTGCCACGAGCGCTGGCGTCATCCGCGGCGGCTATCACTTCGCGCATCCCGATACCTCGACAGGCGCAGCACAGGCCAAGTACTTCCTCGCGCATGGTGGTGAGTTATGATGCCTCAAGTACTCATCAAGGCCGTGCTCACCTGCGTTTCGCTCTTCAGGTGGATGGACGAGCGATGGTCTCACGCTGCCCGGCGCGTTGGATATTGAATGTTAGTAGAGTGGCTTTGGCATGGCACTGTCCTGGCCGACTAATAACCATTTGACAGACGGCGCCAGCGCGGAGTGCTATGGCTTGAGTGCGAGCGCGATGGTTAGCTGGATCAAGGACTTCAGCAATACCTATCACTCTTCGACAGGCGTCTATCCCAGTGCGTATTCAATATGCGGTTTCTATGTTCCGGGCTGATGTACGACCGTGAAGTCATATACACAACGACGGACTGGTGGACGACATGCACAGGCAATAGCGCGGCCTTCGGCAGTACGAATCCGCTCTGGCTCGCACACTATGCGAGCTCCATTGGAACGACACCTGCTGGCTGGAGGTGTGTCTCAATCTCGTGTACAGTATGAAATCGGTATGCTGATCCTGGGTCAGCTATGCTACATTCTGGCAATACGCGGACTCAGGTTCGAACCCTGGCGACCAGGATCTGTTCAACGGTGACTTGGCTGGCTTGCAGCGGTAAGCTTTGACTCGCATGGCGCTATTCATGGGCTCACTATGGTCTTCTCCACAGTATCGCAAAGGGTTGATTGACCGATGCCTGCTCGTGATGAATGGCGGAGTACGGGTCTTTGCTGCACCTGCTGTACTACATAGTTGATGTCTTGGCTGCATCCCTGTTTGCACAACTTCACAAGCTGATCGGCATTGGCCAGATCGCAGATGAGAACAAAGGACACCGGCGGAGGTGTATACTTGATTGACGAAAAGATACAAGGTACACATGTAACCATGATGGATAAACATACACCCAAGTTGAACCGCAAAGAAGAGAGAAAGGCATGTAGAACAAACGACAAACGAGTGGTCAGGCCTGTCTGAGTGCTCAGTTGTTGAGGACCCAGTTGATGGGAACCTCGGAGCCGTCAGCAGTGCTCTCGCCGATAGCCTCCCAAGCGCCGATGGAAAGGTCGAGCGAGTTGGCGTTCGCGCAACCGGGGCATTGGTCTGCAATGGAGGCGGTGACGACTCGACCATTGTTCAGGTTCGTGACGGTGACACTCTGGCCGCACAGCGATGAAGCGTAACGCTGCGTCTCTACATCAATGCGTGAGATGTCAGACCCATAGCAGCACTCAGAGTAAGAGATGAGTACGCACGAAGGGCAACGATGAGCGCGCTGTCGGGATTCTGCTGGCCGCATGCGCCAAACCCGCCGAACTGGTTGTAGTATGTTGCGCTTAAAGGCGGTCATGAGCAGGCGGTTACAAAGGCCGGAACGTCCGATACACTCACAAGCCGCCAGTAATAGTCGTGCCAATCGGCGTGGACACGCTCTGCCGGGGAACGATCGAGGCGGAGACGGCCGCAACGGCAACGAAGACGAAGGAGATTGACTTGAACATGTCGCTTGATGAGAGTAGGATTTTTGAAGGGATTCAGAAGGCGAAACGATAGAGCTCGATCTGTAAGACGAGTTCTGAGGTTCATAGCAGGTCAGTAGTTACGGCTTTTATACGTCCTTTGAGGGTACTGGTGTACCTGAAGTAGCATATGTCCGGGAAACAAGTGGGGATATTCCAAGAGCTAACTGCATGGTATTCAGTGGCATGCTCAACTGTGCTGTGAGCCATATGACAAGGGTAGTGGCACATCAAAACCTGAAGTTCTGTGGCTGAACCAGCGGGCCTTGTGCCGGTCCTGAATGCTGTCACCGTATGCGAGTTGAAACAGAGTTCACTCCTGTTTGCGGGAAGTATGTACGCGATGAGGATGTTGGTGAAGAAGCGGTCAAGATATTCCATAGCTGAGACAGATCGCGTCAGAAATCACTATGGCAAGACAGGCATAGAAAAGGTGAAGAGTATACTATCGCAGACACTGTATGGTGGCGTCGGCGAGCACTGGATGGTGCGAGACCGTGGGTTCGAGCCGAAAGCTGTAACACTGCGTCAGGATCCGAGCAGTTCCGGTGCCTATCCTTCACTTCAGTGAGTCATTGAGATCGTTAGACGTATTGGGTCATTTGGACACGCTCCCCGCCGTGCGCGAGCCGATGGCGTTCACGTTCAGTCAAGTACTATGTGGACTGAAAGAACGTGCGCCGGCGAAATATAGGTGGGTGCGCCAACGCGGTACTTCATATCTCGAGCCTCGACATCTCATCCAGCAGATTCATCTGCATCAATTTCAAGCTCTACCTTCGGTTCAGCGCTGCTTGTACTAACGCGGTCTTCGTTGCCACAACCCGCGGAAAAACCTTCATCAAACGTGGCAAAGGGGTGCACTTTGCCTGTAGAACGTATACGCCACATGACACTGGATGCGCTTTGCCGACCTCAGTCAGCACACGCAGGGCAGCGAGTAGCAGGTGGTGGTCCAGGACTGAGTTGATTTTACCGCGGCGCAAAGCTTCGGAGTTTGCGTGTTTGGATGCGAAACATGATGGCAGTATGCCCCGAAATGGACTATGATCCGGCCCAAAGACCTTGCCGAACTTCGGCACGGATCGTTCACCCGGCACGATCATGTCCATATGAAACTGTATACGCATCACTGGGCGACTACGGCACCCTACAACTGACAGGCTTATTCTATGCCGTTCGGCAGACCATCGCCATCTTGACCGTACTCTGCACGCCCTTCACGACTCATACACCTTGCGTCGGCAGAGTACAATGGATATACTCTTGATGTCCCGGTCTACCTGAACAAAAAGTCAGCTAAAGGCGCATGCCTGGTGATACGAAGGGCGAAGGTTGAGATATCGGAAGAAGAAGAGACGGGTTAGGTCTCACCGTCTCTGTACAGCACAACAACGCCGTCCAGAGTCATCGCGTGCACCAAAAACTCGGTACGCGGTCCTCGCGTAATTTCCGGAGGCAACACATACGTATACTGCGCACATGCCAACCCGCCCGCATATACGTTCTCATCCTTGAACGGGCGCACAACACCCGAACCACGTAAACCGTCGGCGAGCGCGAATGACTCGGACTTGTCTCCTGGTGCCCGCGCGGCGCGCCGAGGGTGAAAGTCCAAGATCGATAGCCGACGTGTCGCGGACGTCGATTGTTCGGTCGCCGCCTGAGACAAACTATAATACTCTGTCCAGCACGCGATGCGCATTCCACAGGGGTTCTTTGTAGTCTGCCACACCATTCCGGGCACAGACGGCCTCAAGAAGGCGATACGCGCGTGAGCGGCCCACTCATCCCATCCGAGCACGGCTTGCAAGGTTGAATCGTATCGTCGCGACCTGAGGAATGCGCGCAGTCGAGAAATGTGAATAACGACAAGAAGGTTTTCCGTGAATGTGTACGGAGGAACGCTATTCGGCGTGTCACTGGCAGGGCGCGTGAGACGCCAATGTGCGTAGAGTAGATGATCTTCCTCGATATTGGCGGTGAGGTCCTTCATGGGCCCGGAAGGCATGTCTATAGAGACGCCCGTCGTGCGCCATTTGTCTTCAACAGTAACGCGCGGTTCCTCGTCATTGAGCTCGGGAAGTAGAAGCGTGAAGAGCGATGGTAGACCATCTCCATTCAACAGCCAAACATCGAACTGAGGGGCCGCGGGAGCGCAGCCTTTGGGATAGAGCTGGCGATGGGCGTCTGCTTTCATGTAGCTCGTATTGACGAACATGTCATCGGCGACCATCTTGTGGGAAAAGAACTCGAGCTTCGAGTGGTCGGGGACTTCGTATGTCTAACAGTTGGACTGATCAGCCAGGACGCCCTCCTCGGGGAGAATAGACGAGTACCAGGTAAGTCTCGTCATGACGCAAATCTCTCAATGTCCGTCTCAAGACACCGCCATCGCGGTACCGATACGACAGCGTGAAGCCGTACGTACTCCAAACATTCGAAAAGCCCGCCAAGGGTAGATTACTAGGTATATCCAAGACGACTCGCGGGCCAAGTTCAGACCCCAGCCTATCCCAAGCTCGGCAGCGGCATTCTCTATCAACAAGATGAGTCACATCAGCGAGAAATAGCTTAAAAGCGATGAACATCACATACTGATCCTCGCTCGCTGGTAACCTATACGCCACGACCAGTAGACCGCGTTCAGAGTCATAATCGAGTACGGTCCTACTCCGGAAATCGGAGATCGTGACCAGCGTATCAGCATGCTCTGATACAGCAGCACACCGCGGGCCACCCAGGTATCTCCGCATGATACTGCATCCCCCGTCGTCGTCATCGTACTTGAAGGTTAACCAGGTGCCACTCTTGAACACCGCGGGAACGACGGGTGTACGGCTGTGAATTGCGAGTTGGCCTCCTCGGCTACCGACGCGATCGTACTCGCGCACCTGCGCGAGCTTGTCGGTAAGTGCGAGCGTCCTGTCATATTCTCCGTTTCTTTCCCGTAGACCTGTAGCGCCGAGAAGAACGATGTATAGCAAGGACTCGAACGAAGTCGTGATCTCTCTCAAAGTCCGACATGTCTGCTTACAATACAGGGATCAATAACGGTACACGACGACGAGAGACGAGGTCAACGTACCGCGCTACACTTAACGATAGACTGGAAGTCGGCATACTCCAGAACCTGGACGATGGACTCTGTAGGCAGCTTCAGCAGCATCGCTCGTGCCCAGCACACAGTACGTCGACGTTCGTGGTCCTAGAGAGAGCCTCGAGTTCGCCTGATCATACCCAGTACCGGCGCCTATATGCAACAGTTCTCGCCGATGGGTGTATTCTTTCGATATGATAGAGCGGCCAGACAGGCTCCCACAGTGTGAATTGGCGATGCCCCATGGCCATGATGCACATGATGGTCGGGAGCAAGGAGAGAACGCATGAGCAGTTCCGCGCGTTCGCCGTCGTCCGTCGCTCACAGCGCGCCCGTGGTGCGCACACAGGACAGTAGAGGCTTGCACATTGTCTTCCGTTGCTTGCATAGAGCTACTGGTACCGAGGATGGGCTCCAAGCGCTGTATAGCTGGGAATGCGAGGTGATGGGCTCAAACCTGCCCGCATAAGTGACGCTGTGCGCGAACCAGCGTCGGCGTGCTCCTTGTCGGCGTATCGCCTTACACCAAAGCTCCTTCACGCTCACGCATATCCAATGAGTAAGAGACAGACTAGTAGTTAGAGTACGATGATAGTTGTATAGAACACACGAGCCACAGACCACAGCCAAAAATCGCAGAAACACAACGTAACAAAGATCCCCCAGATCACAGGCGAGCGTCAAGCGTATCGTCCCGCGTACCAAGAGTACGGGCAGAAAACCGTCCCGTTGAGACGCCCGCGCTCGTAATGAAGAGCCCGGGCGAGAAGATGAAAGTAGGTAAGAGAAATTGTAAGGGGCAAAGTCCAAGATATAGATGGATTGGTATGCGAGGTATAAAGGTTTGACGAAGCGCGGTGCGAAGTGCGCGTAGATGAAATGCTCTTGACTACCCATGAACCGACGTGACGTGGCGTCATTCTAAGTATGGATGAACGGGCGTGAGACCGTGACAGCAGAAAGCTCCCCTCCTCTCCAGCACAGCGTAACACGAATACAAACGTGACTGTCGCGCGAAGGTAACTATTGCGCATAGCCACCCTGCATCTCGATCGGCCGTTGCGCGTATTGCGGTGCAGGTTGTGCGGGGTGGAGATTAGGCGAGGGCATATCGTGGTACGGCGTGAGCGGTGCTTTGGGCTCGGGCTCCGGCTCGGGGCCCTTGTCCACGGCGTTCGTAGCAGCGGACGGGTCGCCGATACCAGCACGGGTGCCCCATCCAGTCTGTAACGCGAAAGAAAAAGGGGAGGACGTCAGTCAATATGCAAGCACGCCATATCATCCCGATGTGATGCTTACCTCGTGCAGCGTGAGAAGCGCGTAGACCTTCATAACGGCGAAGTAGTATCCGAACGCGATGAACGCCGGCACATGGATAATGTCCTGCGGGCGGTTCCACAGATGCGGGAGGAGCTTCGCCGTCCGCGTCGCGGTGAGCCAGACGACGTAACACAGGATGACGTTCCACCACGGCAAGTGGAACCCGCCGTCGTCAACGGGGATCGTCGACTTCCACACGACGATGGCGACGAGCACGGGCCCGACGAGCAGCGTGAACGGGTTGAAGAGCTTGTCCACCATCGTGTACGCCACGTACGGGTGCGACGTCCAGATATGGCGCTCCATGAAAAGGGAACGTAAATCTGAGCGCCAGGTGTTGCGCGTCCATCGGAGGACCTGCTTCAGGAAGCGCCAGTTGGGCTTCATCGTCGAGAGCAGCTCCGCGCCGGCGCAGACCTGGACGTAGGTGTACCAGCCGTGTGCAACCATCCAACGGGTAAGGAACTTGTCGTCACCGGAGTTAAGGTGGTACTTGTCGAGCCAGAAGTCGTGCGTGAATTCGTGGAGGAACTCCGGGTCCTTGAGGATGACGGTGCGGTATGCGGCTGTACGGCCGGATAAGCAAGGAATACCGCCGTCGATGTGCGTCGCGGACGAGATCTCGATGTTGCGGATCGTCAGGCGGAAGGCGGCGAGGACCTCCCAGACGGTCATGTGGTCGCCGACGGGCTGTACGCGCTGCGACGTGCCGACGCCACCGACTTTCTGGTCCTCGAAGCACGCGAGGCAGTATTGCAGGAGCGTGGGCGGCCAAATGGCGTCGTCGTCGGCGAAAACGATGATATCGGTCGTCGCGGCCTTGATACCGTGCGACATTTGCAGGCGCTTATTGGCGAAGGGCACGGTGGTGACGCGGATCCGCGACGGGTCGACGCTGTCCGCGAGCTCTTGCAAGGGTCCGCGCATCTTCTCTTCGGTGACGATGATGATCTCCTTGGGCTTGCCGACGAGCCACGAGTGCGCGGCCTCTTTGAACTCCTCGCCGGCGTCGATGGTGGGCACGATGATCGTCACATCTTCGCTCGCGACGTATGTTGGGTTTTCGGGGAGCGGGATGGGGCGGTAGACGGCAAAGGCTAGTAAACGAATGCAGTACCAGAGGTAGCGGTAGAATCTGTCAGATTCATCGCCGTCGTCAGCGCCAATTAATCACTTCCTAGGACGCTCAACTCACCCGATGACTCCAAACGGGACGACTGCAATTCACAAGCACAATCAGCACATACGCCACCCAGCAAAGCGACAAGAAATATCGTACATATAGGAAACTTATCCTGAGTGAGGTACAACATGGCTGGTCGGCCTCCTTCTTCTCAAAGAGGCCTGAACAGCGTCTGCTGTAAAAAGAGCGACAAAAAGCGCAGGGCCGAGCGCGCTGCACTCTCCTTGAGGCCGGCGAGAGCGGACGGCGGCGGGGGTGGGGACCGACGTCGGCGACGAGGAGGGAGGGATGAGAACAGAAGGCAAGGCTCGAAGACGACGGCTCCCGCGTGCCTGGCCTTGTACTTTGACCTGATCCGGAGCTCCCGCAGTCATATCCCCACCGCCGGCCCATTATCCCCGCGCGTTTTATCTCGCTTACGACCTCGACCTCCGCTTGTACCGCACAGCCCGTCCATGCAGTCTTGCAAAACTACTCATCCATGCCTCTGGGCCGCTATGCGAAAGACACGCCCGCTGTCCGTCGCTAGCGCCTCTCACCAAATCTTCCCGTCGTCACGCTGCTATGGCGGTCAAAACGTCCAGAAACGTTTTGTTTTTTCGACGCGTCTTTCGACTTTTGACGCGTCGACTCCCGCACTTTCCACACACCGCGCGGACTTCATTTCCGCACATCGCCCCTTTCCTTCCACCACCATCTCCCTTTTCCCTTCCCTCCGTACACTTACTTTCATGTATATACGTACCGCTGTGCCAATTTATTTTATCGCTGTCCCGCTCACTTGCGTCGTTCGGCGCGCCCTTTCGGCCCCGCCCCACGTGTCGTGACTCGTCCGCGCCGCCCGCCTCAAGTTCGACCGCGCCCGCGCGCCTCACCTTGCTTCCCGCCTCCACCGTCTCCTCGACTGCTGCAACCCACGCTCCCATTGCCTTGGCTGCCAGGTCTGCGCTCCGCGGCGCGCTCTGTCCCGGGCGCAGTGTGCCGCTTACCGCCCCAACCTCGACCGCGCGCCAGGCGCGCGCTCTCCCTCCCCGCCGCCGCCGCCTCGATCACCAAGCGCAACAGGCAGACTGCACCTTCGGCTCCGCTCATGCGGTGACTCGGCGTCCACGCGTCGACTGAACGCTCGTCGCCTCTCAAGTTCTCAATACCCTCGTGGCCCGCTCATGCCTGCGCTCCCGTCGCCCTCATCCGGCTTACCTATGCGCCACCCACAAGCTGTGTGGCATGGCCCCAGCTAGCTGTCAGTGACATGGGGAGCACACAGCTCCGACGGTGATCAACGGCTCGAGCTATTTCGAGCACAATTCGGCGCCAGCGCAGGAAGACATTTACCACGGGTTCGCCGAGGCTCGCCGAACCGCTGCAAGTGCATCAGACTAGGAAGTATGCTCCTCGCGCGGATACATAACAATAAGAGCCTGTGCGGGAGTGCTGAGGGAGACGATGGTGTGGAAGGTGACGCCAGCGAAGCGCCGATCGTTTACGCGGAATGTACGCCGAGTTGCGCGCTGTACTTTCGATAACCTCGCTGATGCGGCCGACATCTTGGCTGCGAGCTAGGCGGCACAGTCGAGATTGTGCTGGATGGGCAATCTGCCGTCACGGCTGTTGAAGGTCGCTGCGCGCTAGTAGGTGGGACTTCAGTCGCAGGCGGTGAGAAGTTCTACGAGCGGGAATGATATTGAGACGGTGCTCTTCGTGTATGAGTATGTTGTACGAGTCATAAGAAGTAGTGTCACTAATAGCCAATCACCTTTACTGGGCTTCCTCCCATCTCGCCAGGCCTTTGTTGTACATATCTTAGCTCGCGCGGTGTGTTTGAATCGATACGCGGCAATCGACGCGCGGAAATCGCGAGTTCGCGCCCTACCTTAACCTTGACCTTGACCACGATCAACAACATCTCATCGCCTTGTTCATCCCTACCATGGACAACGAGAACTACAACCCGAATATTGTATTCGATGACGCCGAGGCCTCTGAGCTGCCCGATGACCTCGAGCTCGACATATGGTTCCGCGATCCCGCTGTCGCCGAGTTTCTGGCAACGGTTCAAGCGATCAAATTCACGAGAACTGTACTCAAGGGTACTCATCCCGGTGTTGAGCGGGCACGACAAATCTTAGAGGCCAAGATAATTGGCAGCTCTACCCTCGATTGGGTACGTACAGGGTCTGACTCATGCCCTTTCACCGTTAACTCAGTCTGTATAGCACATGCGCATGAACACCTTTTTTATCAGAAAATGTGGACGGCGCACGATGATCGAGAAGGCCGCTCAAGTTTATTCGACATGTTTACAACTCGCTGTGCAGGACGCTCTGAGGGTTAAAAAGGGGATGACGTTGACCGAGAGCGAGATCGAGGAACATCTCAACGGCGATACAGTCCGGCAGTATCTGATGAAGGAGAAAGCCGAAGGTCATCTTGATGTGCGTGTGCCAAGTACGACACCGAGTCTGGTCACTGATTTTAGTCTTCAGGATGATATTGAGATTATGTACCGCTCCAAAAAAAGCTTCAACGCGTCTGGGGAGGACAATGACGCGGTCGAGGAGCTCTACTCTGTTCTCGAGACTCAGGGGCCCGACGACGTCCCACTCGATTCTCCAACGTCTGAGCTGGACCTGAGCACGGATGAGGCCGTGCAAGCGTTTGAGCTCACGCCCACGAACAGAGCGAGTTTCCTGCGAGCCATGACCAAGCCTGACGTCCAACTCCGCGTCTGTTGTCTTTGGGAGCGTCGCCTCAGGGCATACTTCTTTGAATGCCTATCAGGAATTCCCGAGAATGAGGTGCGACGATGATTCTGAATTCGAACATGACACATGTACTCATCTTGAATAGCTGGAACGATTGCGCGTCGATGCTGTGACAACACTGACGCAAATGAAATGCGCACCACGCTCGACAACGACAAAGACAGAAGAATGGAAGGTTGCGGTTACGGTATGTGGCTTCCGTCTATGTCCTTGTGCCACTGTTTCTGACTAGCTCACGATTGAGCAGAAGAGCGGCCTTGCCCGACTGCTCAGGCAGATCACGCGGACAGAGTTCATGTTTTCCTGGCAGTATCAGGCGCAAAAGGCCGAGCGTGCAGTTCTGGGGCATGTTCTTCATTCCCTCTGCTTTCATCAATGGGCCGAAGCCCTCTCAATCATCTTCGACAAATGGTCGCCAAAGGATTTGGAGGAGGCTGCGGGCATCATCGCCGCTGAAGCAACGTATCCAACACTGAGTGCTGGCGCTACGCTCAAAAACATTTCAACGTACGGTTACGACAACTCGGCCTGGTTGAAGCGCTACGTCGAGGCGAGTGGTGATTCTGTATCTTGGTACCCTGTGCTCACTTTGATAACTCAGAAACGTGAACAAAGCGCGATAACTGCATGGAACAAGAATCAGCGGAGGCAGGCACGCCCACGGAACAAGAACAAGAAACCCGCAGAGCCATTTGTCCTCAAGACTGACGTGACGCTCGGTGAAAGTTTCCTGGGCTTCCTCGGAGATCACCCAGAGCTTCTCCCGAGCCGCTACAATATGCAGGCCTACTTTCTGTTTCTCGACCGCCCACACTTCCTGCGGAACTTCTACCTATGGGGTCGTGCTGCGCTCATGCTGTTCGATTACAGAGTGTGTCTGATTTATTTTATTTTCCCCTCAATGACGCTTACCAGATCTTCTTTAGGTTGATTCGGACAAAGACCTTGACAACATCTACGCGGACATCATGAAGGTCAAGGCTGACCATCTCCAAGGACTCGGGGAAGGCTCCGAAAAGCTGCATCTCCTGTTCAAGGAGTGTAAGCGCTTGCGTGATCTGGTCAAGCCCACATCTAACGTCACCATGAAGAACGTCAGTACATAAACATATATTTTGGCTATATCCTGACAAATACTACAGCTGGAACGAAAGCGCGAGGTCACTGTCTTCCCTGTGACTGCGCTCGACAAGGAGCTACTCGACGCAACGGATGGTAAAGCTTTCACCTTTCATGCTTCAGATCGGATAGAGCGCCTGGTATGTCTCTCATTGGACTGTCGAAAAGATAGCCTCTTACGTTGCTCAGCCAACAGGAAAGAAAGCGTCCAATGACAGTTCAACGGGTATCAAGTTCATCGATCCCCGAGAACCACCATACTCCTTGCAATGCATCAAGCCCGACGAGAAAATTCTCAAGGCGTGGGGTAAGCACGTCTTCATCTTCGTGGACACTGCTACAAAAGCCATTGTAAGTCAATCGACGCTCTTGCTCACCAGACACTTACCAACTGCTATAGGTTGGTGGTGTTATATTCCAAGCGTTCAATGAGCGGCAACTCGAAGAAGCTATCAAACACCACACCCTTGTATGCCGGTTCCCTGGTCTGCGGCGAGGGACATCGTTTCTCGAGTTTGCATATGGCAAGATGATTCCTGTAGGCTTTCGAGTGCCAGGTGGTGGACGGCCGGGAGATGAGTACGGCCCGCATCCGATCATGGTGAACCAAGCGGACCGAAGTGAGAAGGCTGGAGATCACGACGACGTTGATATGATGTTTGCGCACGCTGAGGTAAGTGGCTCAACCTACCAGCTTCTGCTTTGCGTTGATTAATGTACATCAGGATATCGAGATGGTTTTTGATGCGGTGAAGGACTACGTACCTGAAGTCGTCAACAGCATCCGCGACTTGTCGGACGAGAAGCAGCTCAAGGACATGGGCAGCTGCGGGGTCAGCAGTTATTACTGCTCGAACTACCTGTCCCAACAACACGGCGACAATGATGTGGGTTGGTCTCTGTGTTCGCAGCTGTACAAAAAGCTCGATACTGCTGGTGGGAGCCCTACAGAAGACTTCAACTTCGCGTTCACGAAGTGGGGGGTGTACATCGAGACCCAGGCGAACTGTGTCTGGTAAGTGATTGCCAATACAGATACCTGGCTATAATTGACGTATCGTGTAGGTGGTTCCGTAGCGAAGATCTACACGGGTCGATAATGCCCACAAACAGCACTATCCAATCCCTTCGACAGCAGGCAACGCGTACCCGGCGCGCAACCACTCAACCTCGCGCACAGCGACTTCGTGGGGGAGCGGGGTCGGACGTGGGTAGCGATGCCGAGAGCAACACCTCCCACATTGCAGTGGCCGGCTCGCCACCACCTCCTACAACAGGTTCTGGTGGTATCCACGTCACGGTGCGCAAGAAGGACGCAGATCGGGCGGAGCGTTTCGCAAGGACGCAGCGCAGAGCTGCAGCTCGCAATGCCTACTGGCAGGGTAGAGAGTAGATTCTACATACAACCTGAATGGTGGGAAGGCCAGGGTTGGGAGTAGTGAACATTGTACAGAGTGAAAGGAGTATTTGATGAAGCAAGCAATGTGTGAGGTGAAATACAGTGAATGCGCCGGTGAACACGAGTGTGAGTGCGGACGGGCGGGTAGTAGAAGAGCGTAAATGGGGTCTGCGGGAGTATAGAGGATAGCAGGGAGGGCATAGCGAGTGCATGTGCGAGGATAACGGCGTGTAACATATAGTTGTAATGGCCTGTTGCTGTTGTTGAGACGGGGACGAAGAGACTTGAGAGGTATAGTGTCGCTAGGGTATTCGATGACTTGATGTTCCGCTACAACGGCGCGGCGATACGAGACGAGTTAGACGCTCTCGACCGCTTTTACATGCCGTAGCCGTACGACGCCCCGCACTGGTAGTCGCCGAGACCGCCCGATAAACTGACAGCCTGAGGGTACACCGCGACACCCATCCCCTTGTAGCCAGCGCCGTATTGACCAGCGGCAGTGAGGTTATGGCTCGAGTAGCCCTGGAGGACGTAGGCGTCGACGCCGCGCGCGAGATGCGCCTGCGGGTGCTGCTGGCCGTACGCGTGCATGGACGCAGCACACGGGTTGGGCGCACGACCGAGCCCGTGTGTCCGTAGCGCCGCCGTGTTGACGAGGTTTTGCTGAGCAGCCACGGGGTAGACGCCAACGGAGCCGTAGTGATCCATCTGCTCGTGCTGGAGCTTGTGCTGGATGCACTTGCTATACGGAGTGTTGCGGATGAGCGGGAAGACCGGGCAGATACCCTCCACGAGGAGTGCGTGCCGGCCGCCCTCGGCGTAATTGAGACCAGTCTGGATGCAGTGGTTGTGCCGTACGACTCGCAGAGGAGCTTTTCGAGACGTGTGCGGTTGAGGAGCTCCTTGATGAGCGTCTTGCGCGTAGAGTGCTCGGCGACGCGGATGCACTGCTCAATGACGTTCGAGGAGAACTTCTGGACGAAGAGCGCGCAGACGTTAGCCTAGAACTGACGGATGACGGCGTCCGAAAAGCGGTTGAGCACGACCTGGGAAAATGTCAGGGCACAGCTTATAGAGAATGATAGTATATACGCACGTAGTTACCGTACGGGTCCTGTACGAGCGTGAGGGCGTTGTAGGTGATCTCGTTCACGAGCTGAACGCGCGCTTGGGGCCGTGAATGCCGTTGATCTTCGCGTCGCCGTTCATACGACCGAGACCGAGGCCGTAGCGCGTGCCATTGTGTTGATACAGCGCGGTGCTTCCGGTACCCTGACCGTACGAACTGGCGCCGTACCCGCTAGCGGCACCGTCGAACAGTGCTAGCGGGAGACCGTTACAGTTGTATGTAACCGCTCGGCGCGCGGCTAAGGCTGTTCCGCAAATCCCCGGAGAGTGGCTCTCGCCCATGCTCAGGCGGTTGATGAGCGGGATCGCTTCTGCTGGGGATGGGTGTGCCAGGCTGCTTCCCAGGAGGGCTGCTGCAGTCCCACTACCGCGGCCACCGCCGAGGGGCGTCGCGGGAACCAAACGGGTCGCCAGAGAAGTCCGCAAACGAGGCAGGCGAACCACGGCTCGATGCGGGCAAACCGGGCGTCGAGAGATACGCGATGGCGCTGGGCGTGAGCCGCGAGACATTCGGTATACCCGATGCGGACAGACTACCGAACTTCGCGCCCAACAGGGCGCCAAGTGACAGAGCGGGGTTTGTCGCCTTGAGCAGTTCGATGGCGTCAGGACGCGGGCTACCGCCGAACTGCGACTATTCGCCCGGAAGCTTGTCACAAGGCTCTGCAGAGCGGGGTACACCGCTGTACGAGCTGCGTTGGCCTGCAGGCACCCGCGTGAGGTCGAGGGCGGCCAACCAAGCGCTTTGCTGGCGCCACGTCATCGTCACAGGTGCTCTGGCGTCGCGACGCGGGCACGCTATTCGCCGGCGCGCTCGCAGTAGACTGGCGCGGAGCTCGGCATCGAGACCGGAATGAGTGAATGGCGCGGTGTTGAGGGAAAATGGCGGGGTGGCGAGGCGAGCGTGGTCGCGCGCGAGTGCAGCGGCCGCCGAGCAACTTGCGAGGAGGGTTCGAGCGGGAGCTGCGCGAGAACGCGCGCCCTTCCCTCGAGCAGCCTGCGGTGAAGCGCGTATTGACACCCGTGCAGCGTTGGCTGGCGGCTATGGCGCCCAGTAGTCGCTGAACGGGCTTTCGTGTGTGGGCCGGGTAGCCGCGGGTGAGGTGTGGCAGCGAGCCCGTGTCCCGGGCCAGGCTGCGAAGTCATGGTTAGTACGAGTGAGCTGCAGACGATACAAGGAAACGCACCTTTGTCACGCTGCATACACTCGACTCCATAGGCGATTCGACGGTGGGCGCGCGGGCGTGTGTGATGGCGGTTCGAGATGAACGTTCGCGGACTTCTCGAACGCGCAGATCATACACGCGCCCGACCGTGTGGCGTCGGCTTCACGCGTTGGCCGCCTTCGAGCGCGCACACTCGACAAGCAGAGAGGGCATGTATAAAGCAACCTGTGGCATGTCAGTTCTAGTAAGTAAGGTAGGATAAGTGAGAAGGTGCTACGTACCGTTGTGTGAAGGGGGGCAGCAGACGGTGTACGCGCGCAGCGCACATTTCGTATAGACTTGCTGCGAACATTCAGATCTTGAAGGTCAGTGTGGTATAGGCAGCCTACCTGGTTGTGGTGGTCGACAAGCTTGCGCTAGGGTACTGCCGTTGCCTTCTCTCGCGTATGAAGATATGACAGCCTCTCCAGTGTCGCCGCATAAAGCGGCGACTGACAAAGGGACGAACCCCCGGCCAATGACACTCTAGGCTGCGCGCCAGGAGAGTGGAGAGGTCGCATATTTCGCGAGCGAGAGTGCACACAGCAGGTACGAGGGAAGAGCATGGTGGTCGATGGTGGTGGCAGTCAGAGTAGGAGATGGGCGCGACTTTTGAGGCCGAGTTCCACGTCGGGACCCCCGAAACGCGTTCAACAAAGTCACGCACGTGCTGAATCAAATGTCGCTGTCATTGGGGAGTGCTACTGGGCGTCGTAAGGATTGTGTTGTCATAACGGGTATAGTTAGAGGAGTATATGAGGAGTGTAGAAGTAGTAGCGGATAGTCTAAAATGAGAAAAAATTAAATGGTCACTATGAAGTTGGCGAAATCAACAGTACTGATGGGCGAGTCTTAGGAGCTATAGTACTAGAATGTGTCATTGAGCTGTCACTTCTGAGTCTTGGAGCTGGAAGGTGTATTGAGCTTGAACAGGGCTGAGAACCGGCGCTGTTTTGCCTCGTATATTGCCAACGCGTTGGGCGGCGTGTGTCGGGTTATCTCAACCTCCGGATCGGGAATTGCATCAACGTCGATGGCAAGGAACTGATCGATTGTGAGTGGTGCTGGTTCAATGGTCGGAAGTGGTGGTGCTGGAGGATGAGGCCCAGTGGGAACGCCGCGTGAGCGGACGTGAGCCCGCGTGAGATCGAATGGCGCGGCGTGTATCGGCGTGAACAGGCGCATGCCTCTGCCCACCACGACCTGCCGCACCTCACCTTACCTCTACATACTCGTAGCAATGCCAATCAAATGCTCTTGCTCCCTTTGCCTATGCGTGTGAACAAACATTCTCCACCACTTCACCGGCACGCAGAGGCTTCGATAAGCGCTACCAGCACTACACCCCTCCTGCCACACACACTATGTCAGCCGAGCATGAGTTGGCTGCATGCGATGGATGTATTGCACTCGCAGAGCTCGTATATAAGATGGACGCCCGTTTATGTAGCTTAGAGCGCGAACTCGCGTCGACTTGCAGCCGAGAAGTAACCCGAGGTCGCAAGCGGTCTCGCTCAGTCTCGTGAGCATCATGTTGCCTTATAGTGCCCTCGGGACTAATCCATCTATAGTATTAAACCTGCGCCGCGAACTTCGGAAGAACGCATGGGCACCGCGAATGGGCCAGGTATGCTGATCCGTATCATTGCCTCTGTTGACACTCATCGTCATTGTCGAACAGACGAATCTTTCGTATCAATAAGCACGGAGGAGACTGTAGAATCCTCGCAAATGGAAGAGATGGAGCTTTGGATGCCAGAGAGTGCAGAATTGTGCGTGTTTGTGCCCCTCTAACCAGTGTGTTTCGATCTGATACCGCTTGCCAGGTCGTCGGCCGTCGAGCTTTGCACACACACAGTGGGAAAATCCGAGGATTCGTCGCCGTCATCAAACCCGCCACCGCCAAAGCGACCTCGTCACTGTCCGAAACGCAATACAAGGTCGCCAGCACCTCTCGACCAAACACTCGATGAGTTCATGGAAGAAATCGGCTCCGGTGAGAGTTTCCTCTCGTGGTCCATCCAGATGCTAATGCCTGTTCCATCAAGGTGTATTCTATGCGCGAAAGCGACTGCCAATGGACCTTGTATTCGGCCGCCAACGCCACACTCAGACCGCGAACTAACCCGCTCTCTCCTAAAACTAAGTATACTTCCATTGGTTCCTTGTAGTGTTTATACACCGTCTATGTTAGCACAGTAGCATTGCACTTTGAGCCTACAAAATTATATGGATCACTCGTATCGGATCTGGCCGTATCGAAACTGGCGTGTGACAACTTGCTTGCGGGGACGGCGAATCTTCCGCGCGGAGGCTCTGTGCGCGGAAGATTCGGCGTTCTCTGCAGACCTTTTTCCCACCCTCATCACACTCCTTTCGTAAGGCGAGGTTCGCTGGGTAACAGAACAGTGCTACGCCCTACAGGCCCTTCGGAGACACCCAGAAGCTCATCATGGCCAATCTGGATCCTCCAGCGGACCGATACTACTGCTTCTGTTCCCCTTGCTACAACAAACCAAAGGATAGGCGTTGGATAGGCAAAACAGCCTGGTACGGCCATGCTACAGGACGATTGGCACAAGCCCGTGCAAACCCTGCGAGTGTACCACCAGTAGGATCGCGCGAAGCTATTGTACCCCATATCCCTAGGCTGACTCGTAAACGACGTCTCGAGGCCGATGCTGCAGCACGTACACAACCGGCACCTAAACGTTTCAGAGGACCACAGCCTGTACTCGCGGGCGTTGACAGGGTTTGTTGTACATACTGTCTCTGGCAGCACAGTCTCTGATAGTCCCCATGCTATAGAACACAGGTCCAGCTCGCGGTGGCCGCACACAGACCGAAGGACGGCGCAATGGATCTCAACCAAGGGTTTGTGTTTCAGGAAATTCTACAACACCATGCTCAAACCTACAACAGGGTCGCGCATCATCCAATGTATCCCACACTTCGCCATCCAGTCCAGAACCAGAAGACGTATGTTCGCGCCGGTTGATTCCGAGTCTACATAACTGACTCGTTCTCTTCTGACCTCTGCATAGAACTTGGGTGGCTCTCCGGGGCCGTCCGATGACTTCCGCACTCCGGTGCCCGATGCTGTCAGTCTGAATTTGACTTCCACAGACGTGACATATATACTCATTGTCTGTTACCGTATGGATAGCAACCTGTGCCACCTCCACCTCCACCACTCCCACATCGCGTCGACCTAGACGTGCCGACCACATCAGAGATTGCCAAGATACAATATACGCTCGACCTCATTCGCTGTGCCCGGTCTGCGACTCTGGCCGACAGTGGCTTGCCTGCCGACGTTCTTGCGCGTTTGCGGAATGCGCCCGTTGATATTCCTGAATTCACAGACATGGAACTCCACGCGATAGACCTCTGGCTCTCGAATCCCGGCCGCAAGCAATACGAGAAGAACCGTCTCACCGCAATACGCGCCCATTCAGGGGATGCCGAGTTGTTTACCTACCACGCAGTGAAGAAGAAAGTAGCCGAGTTGACAGGCATCGTGCCTCTCGTTCTTGACATGTGCCCGAAGAGCTGCATGGCGTTTGTAGGGCCATGGAAAGATGAGAAGCAGTGCCTCTTCTGCGATCACGAGCGGTGGTATCAGAAGGGGGGGAAGGACGTCGCCTATAAGCAGTGGAGCACGTTTCTGCCGGGCCCCCAGGTGCAGGCCCGCTGGCGCTCGCCGGAGGGTGCTCATGATATGCTTCATCGCGAGCGTGTTATGCGCGAGTTCTTGGATGAACTACTGGGCCCAGAGGACTCGCGCCGTATCTCGGATCTCTACCACGGCACGAACTTCTACAGGCACTACCAGAATGGCGAGATCGCTCCCGATGACTTCGTGCTGATATACTCTATGGACGGAGCGCAGCTGTACGAGCACAAGGCCTCTCATTGCTGGATCTACATCTGGATCCTTGTTGATGTCGCTCCCGATCGGCGCTACAAGTGCCCGTACATCCTCCCTGGCGCCATCGTACCTGGTCCCAACAAGCCTGAGTTCCCTGACTCTTTCAATTATCCGGGCTTTGCACATCTTGCCGCGCTTGCAAGGGAGGGACTGAGCATCTACGACGGGTTGAACAAGCGGCTGTTCCGATCGCACCCCTATCTCTTACTTGCAGAGACAGATGCCGTTGGTGCGCCGGAGGTGACCGGATTCTGCCCACATGGTAGCAAGAAGGCGTGCCGCCGTCGATGTGGTCGAGCTGGGCGGCATAAACCTAATCTTGGTCACTACTACGCTGCCGATCTCCGGCCGGATCACTATAACGAAGTGGGCTGCTCGCATCCAGATCTTGAACCGAGCGAACTCTCGCCCGCCCAGACGGAGGAACAGTACCTTGATGATATCCGCAAGTTATCCGCAGCTTCCGATACAGCCGAGTACAATGCTTTGCGCTTGGAGCTAGGCCTTGTCAAACCTTCCCTTATTCTCGGGATCCCTCGCGCACATCGTTCTGACATCCCGGACATCTTTCCTGGTGATATCATGCACGCTCTCGGGCTCAATATCACCGAACATAGCATCAAGATGTACCGCGCTCTTCTTCCCTGCGACGAGAAGCTGGGAGATAAGAAGTCTACATGGACATGGGCGGACCTGGCAAAGGATGAGGAAGGTGGCGAAGAGGCTTGGTTTGAACAGAGCGACTTTGTGGCGGGTGCACGCGAGCACATTCCTGGTGGCTTCGGACGCGTCCCGCGCCCTCCTCGACACAAGATCAACAGTGGGTACAAGTGTGAGGAGTGGATGACCTGGTTCTACGGTCTTCTTCCGGGATTCTCGTACGGGGTATTCAAAGATGGTCGATGGGAACACTTCTGCAAACTTGTTGCGGGTGCACAGGTTGCGTTTCAAGTTGGCGCTACGATAGCACAGCTGAAGAAGAGTCATAGCAATACTGCTGACTGGAAGTGGGGATTGGAGGTCGACTTTGCTAAGCTCAAGATCTCACGACTTCATTTCATGCCCCAGTGCACGCACGCCGTTCTACATGATGCCGACGACTACATTCGGAACGGGCCGCTCATCGCTTCCTCGCAATTCCCAATTGAGCGCTATATTGGCATGCTCGGCGACGAGATACAGCAACCTTCTAATCCATTTGGGAATATCGCTAAACGTGCCCTGCGCTTTGCTCAAGTGAACGCCCTGCTTGCCATGTATCCCGCTCTCGATCGACGTCCGCCACCAGTCTCCTCTCGACCTGGTATGACTGCCAGCACTGGGAATGGTTTCATTCTGCTCCATCCCCGAGATAACCGCCCCTCTCAACACATAGAGGATCTTGAACAGACAACAATACTGGAGTGGCTGGAGTCAGTAGCCGGTGACGATTGGGAGCGTTGCTGGGAGGACAGTTTTCGCGCCATTCAGAAGTGGTCACGATGCTACTTGCCAAATGGTCAGATTGCGCGTTCACGAATGCGAGAGGTGGGGAGACAGGGACTGACACGGCGGTCACGTAATGTCAAAGTGAGTTGTGGACATTCAATATATGGTCAAAGTCGGACGATTGACGCGTTCATGTAGTACGTGACAGATACTGGTCTTGCCTTTGGTGAAGTATACTACTACTTCTCCCTACCAGTATCTACCGACCGACATGCAAAGCGCCGTACCGTTGCACTCGTATCCCGCTACGGCGATCCGGATCCTACCTTGCTCGAAAAGTCATCGGGTGTTCTGTGGGCAGCTCGACATCTCGGGGAGGCTGCTTTGACAGTCATAGATGTCAAATACATCTGCTCGGTGGTGGGAATGATCCCTCACGATTTTCAGACACCACATACACAAGGGGTCGAGACTTTGTGGTTTGTACTGGAGAAGTTGGGTACGGAGGTGGGATGGGTAAGGGATCTGGATGAAGACAAGGACGCAGAAGACAATGACGATGATGAGGAGGAGGATGATGACGATGAGGATTAGAATTGCAGTTGAGACCACGGCTGTCTCTTTGAGAATGGGGTGGCGTGCGCGGAAGAGGGCGATGTCGAGTGGAGGGAGGTGCGAGTGAGCGCAAGAGCTTCTGAAGCGAAGTCGGCGAAGATTGAAGATTGTGGGCTAGGTAATATTGTCACTAGTATGATCAGGTCGAGACGGAATATGTCATACCTGCACAATCTCGCCGAGTTGGCTGAGAACCTATGTGGTACGGCCGAGTGTAAGAACCACGTCTTGCGGTGCACACGAACACCGGGGCGAGTCGGGTAACGGAAGTGGACATCCTCAACACGGATGTGGCCCTGAATATTCTGCTTGCCCTCCGTGCTCTCAGCGTCAACCTCAGGCACGATGTCCATGAGGCGGGATGTCCGAAGCGGCGCCCTGCGCGGACGACATGTCGGGGACGAACGAGAAGACGTTGCCGGCCTGGATAGCACCGAAGACAATGGACATGAGACCTGAGAATTTGATCAGTCACGATACTGTAATGCGCAAACCAGTGGGGCTCACCAACGAAGAAGTCACGGCTAGTGAACTCGCCGAAAGAGACGAGGCGGGCACCGTACCAGAAGACCAAGGCGATGACGAAGAACGTGAACAACTGCGACAAAGCGTAGAGCGCGTTCGGTTGCTCTCCTTGAGCGGGGCCTTGAG